AATTGAAGTATATTTAAATGCTTTAACGATAATTATTATTAATATGAATTTAGTAAATTTAATAAGGAATAACTAATTAATACATGTATAATAACAAATTTTATGCAATACAAAATGAGACAAAAATGAACATATTCCTTCCTACTAGGTCAAGATTAATCTAATCTCAAAGCAGTAAAAGAATTGGAATATACAAAAATTCCACCAAAATCTAAAAAATGTTTTTAACAGCTGTTGATTTTGTTGATATTTTCAGTAAAATCGAATTTTTAGTTTGAAGACTAAAATTGGGACACGATCCTTTCCCACAAACAGAAATTTAAATTACTTTTTACTTTCAAATTCAATTTTCAAGATCATTTTATAACGCCGTCAAGTTTCCTTTTTAAAACCTGTCTTACCTCCGTTCCTTTATTGATTCTCTTCCATCTTAAATTCTCTAACCACTTAAAAACATGCAGAGCATGCAGCACCCAGTTGATGAACCGCTTCCTTTAAGGTAACATTTAAACTTGAGGTGTGCTAATAATTTAATTGTGCTTCCACTAATTTAAATTGTGCTTACACAATTTTGTTGAGAATGTATCTGCTTATAGATAATATATAGGGTGATGAAATTTTAATGAGAAATACAGAGAATAGGGGAATCACTTTCGAGGACAACATATTACGAAAACATTTTTGGGGCCGACTCAAAAATGGCGCACTTGGAGAATAAATCACAATTGGAGAAATTAGGGAACTTTTTAAAGTACGAGATAAGGGTGGAGACTAAAAGTAGAAGGTCACATCATCAATAGGGAAAAATCAAGCATTCTACACCAAAAATGGAAGGCGACTATGAGGCAGGCCGAAAAAAAAGTTTGAAAGATCAAGCTAACAAAGATGTGACTACGTTGGGAATCACTTAAGTACCCATGGGCATGGGAGTAGTTTCTATTTCAAATAGTTCAACATATTGTTTAAAAATCATCTGTAATAACGGATAGATTTTCTTGGTCATTTAGAAAATTTCTGTCATTCTTTGAAAAAGTAGAAGAACAAATGACGACTGGAATTCAACATGGAAAAGAAGATTTACGATGACAGGAAATCTTCTAAGACGTGCTAGATTAGATGAACAAGTAGTTGGGAATGTAGGATGTTCCAGTTTTCAGTAAATGCGAAGACATGCGCAGGATTGAAAAGTCAGCGCGTGTCCATAGTCACCTACTAATATTCGTAAATTCCAAAACACACAGTAATACAACTAACTAAAGGATCATCATCATAGGGTCGTCACTCCTAAGACTGGTTGGACACGCACCTCCACTCCTTTCAATCCTGAGCTAATTTTCGCATTTCCCTAAAACTAAAACATCCCACATCTTTAACTATATGCGAGCAGTAATGTAATCTAGGTCTACCTCTACTCCTCTTAACTCCTGTTTCTGCCTTTAATATGTCTTTGACTAGACCTTCATGCCTGAGAAGGTGTCCTACCAACCTATCTCGCCTATTTTTTATTGACTTCCATGGAGTCCTCTGTTGTCCTATTCTGTGTAATACCTCTTCATTTCTAACCTTCTGTATCCACGGTATCCTTATCATTCGCCGATAACAGCACATTTTGAATGCTTCTAACCGCTTTTTTCCGCCGCGCCCACAATCCATGTTTCGCACCCGTACAGCGCTGCGCTCCAAACATACACCTTTAACGATCTTTTTCGAATTTCTAAATTAATCGTTTGCATGCATAGAAGTGACTTATTTTTATTAAAGGAGACTCGACTAAAGGATATTAGGCAAAAACAAAATTAAACAGTTTCTTTATTTGGGCTCCTATCGTCTACAAGAAACTACCTAGAGCTGCAAATTTAATAAAAGTCCAATTTACTCACAGATCGTGAACCTTTAACTAAACAAAAGTGGACCTAACACGTGTCGCAAATTGAATTATGTATTGTAACACCTAATTACGTGTGATTCTCTTTTTATTTTATTTATTAATAGTGCTGCATCAGCTAAAACCACATCAGCAATGTAATATTGAGAAGAGATACAACATCTTTGCTTCTTTGCATGTAGAGCATTCCCTTCCATTTGGTTTTAAGTGCGTAGGTGCATTATTGATTTAGTCCTTTGTTTGCTTGCGTGTTAAATTATAAGACTTTTGTAGGATGTGTTCGGAGAAGAACGTAAGGAAACAAAAACTCGTATGTTACCAATGTCATATATTTACCGCCTTCACAGTTGAGCCACCAGCAGCGAAATTAAATTAGTCGTGTTCTTTAATATTGTATTTACTAATCGCTGAAGATTTTCACACTGTCCTTGTAATAATATTTTCCACTTAATTCAGCCTTTTTTTCTTGAAAGCAATGGAAACGCTATTTTAAAATTGTATGAAATAAAAGTAATGATTGGATCCTGATTGGATTAGTTCGTAAAATTCCCGCTCGCTGGGCATTCTGTCGATCGCTTTTCAGAAAATTCAAAACACCGGAAGTTAATCGGGGCACCGTCCGCATGACCAAAAGTATAGGGATATTTTTCTGTGTAGCATGATATTGGAGGCAACCACAAACAAGTGGTTCAATAGTCATAACTTATAAGCGCTCATTGTAATGGAAATTATTTTCAAGGCGTTTATAGTAAAGGTAGGTAGGTATGTCTCCTAGTCTGATATTACGTATTTGCAAAATTTCGTCGCCGAATTAGCTGCTTCTTCAAATAAAAGAAGAATGCAAATAACTATTACCATCATGAGTCATTTTCGCATTTTCCTGAGACTAATATAGAACATCCTACATCCTTAACTACTTGTGAATAATAATCTAATTTATACTCCTTTTAACTCCTGTTTCTGCTTCTAATAGGTCTCTGACTAATCCTTTATGCCTGAGAAGGTGTACTACTAACCTAACCTAACCTATCTGGTCTACTTCTTAACTCCTGAGGTACCCTCTGATCTCCTACTCCTTTTAATACTGTTACATCAAATCATATTTAGGTCACTGGTACAAAGTTGGTACATCTAAATTGTTTATTTAAAACTGCAAACTAACACCTACTTATTTACTGTGTTAGTAGGTCAATTAGCAACCGTTTAAGTAACGGAACCAATAATAATTGTAATGAAGCAGAAAAATCGATATTTGCGAGTTCAATTAAAGATCACGAAGATGCAGGGTGGTGAGACGGCATACCATCTTCATTCATCCTGTAATAGTGCTTTGTCATTTCTATGATCCGAAATTATCTAATAAAGAAGGTTAAGATTATTATTATTATGCTATTGGGTTATTAATTAACTGTATTTAAATTGTTGGCTAGTCATTCAAAATTTTATAATATACTTTCAATATTATATTAAAGTAATTGTATCCCATTCCTAAATAAATAAAATTCGTCGCTGTTTAACACGGTGTAGTACACATTTCTCAAAATAAACATTCTCTTCTTTCTGACATGGTGGAGGCGTCAATAGTTCTGTATCCACGGCATCCTTATCATTCGCCAACTTTGAACGCTTCCAATTAATTAAAAAAAAATACATGAGGTCTTTAGCTCGAAGTCTGATAGGACAAGCACTTCCTATATCATGAGCCAAAATCCGCATTAGAGCTCTCTCTCTATTTACCCCTCTTAACTCCTGTCTCTGCTTCTAATGTCTCAAACGAGTTCTTCATATCTGAGGCGTCCTACCAACCTATCTCGCCTTCATGCCTGTTTTCTATTGACTTTCATAATCCCGTCTGTGATCTTGATCACTCTAATAAATTAAATTATAAAGTATAGAAGCGCCTCATATTTGGAGGTTTTTTTAATATCTTCGTAGAATATATTATAATACACTAATTGAGTACAATATCATCTTCTTAGGATTTCAAAACGTTCCTCGACCACAGACAATTTAATATATCCTGTCAACACCCTACTAATTAGATTATCCTGAGAATGAGCGTATTCTACAACAGGAACAACTAGGACTAGGACGACGTGGTAAGAATTGAATTGAAAATAATAAATTTTTTGGGGCAAGTTCAACCCTGTCGTACAATCTACACTTACGACGCATGCTTGTAAGGGGTGGCTGCTGGAGATCGAGAAAACAAACCCTCGTGCTTTTTCAGTCCATTCCTGCACGTTGTTCACGCATTCGCTTCGAAAATATCGCGTTCCTAACTCTATTCCACTGTGCTTTATTGTAAAACTCGACCATTTGCGTTCAGAATGGCACAACTATAGTTCCTACGCAATCCCTATAAGTACAAATTAACCCCTTTCGTTATTATGGATTGATGCAGGTCATACTTTATTCAGAAAACAGGCAGCAATTCACTCAACAACTGTAAGTTTAAATTAAATGATCAAAAAATACATTTTATGTACACGAAGAAATTTCTTCAAACGATATTACAGTGTAACAAATAAACAACAAAATAGTTACGTGAATGTAGGTACATAAAATTCAAAAGAACAATTAAATTTTCTGGTTTAAAATAATCTAAAAAGTTCCCTTCACTATGGCATTATGTATGTTGTGGTAATCTGCACACAAGAAGGTACTTTTCTAAAAGATCTATGAGAGGTCTCATTCGACAGCAAAAAAAGAAAATCACGTATTTTACAATGAATAAAAGAGGAAGAAGCACAGTAGGTATTGATTGCAATTGAGATGGTGAAGACAGCATTTATTCGAATATTTTGTAGGGTAGGCAATGTGGACTATAAACCAGAGGCGTACACAGTTAATAAATATTATATCAAATCATTATTACTTTTATTTAGGTAGAGATACAACTGTACGTAGTCGTTCCAATACAAATTTAATAATTTTAATGTAATTAATGCTGTTCGTGGTGCATATCTATTAATTTAGTACCTACGTGAGTACAATATCACACTTGAAGAGTATTTCACAAACTATTAAATTTTTTCAGTTATTAGGTTATTTTTAAAATTTACAAGCTGATTACCTCTAATTTATAATAGTTCTAAATTGAAGAATTCTATCCACCTACCAGCAGTAGGGATGAATTATTGATATCTATTACTTCTATTTAATCGTTGATTAAGTGAATTAACATATTTTTCTTTTCAAACAAGTTGAGCATGTTACTTTTTGGTGTATTATGTACAAATTGAATTGAATTTTCCGAAATACATTATTTGAAGTTTGGGCAATTTTCGTATATTTTTTATTTTTATCTATAGCCTAAAGGTGTTCACTCAATCTCATTCAGATATATCCTTCTAACTAACCTATGTACAGTGCATTGCAAATAGGCTAAAGAAATACGTAAAGAAATAATTTTAATAAATCTTGGAAAATATTCCCAAGGTCTGTTTTTGTCCTTCTAAATTTTAATTAACATTTTCGTTTTATTGCCCCATGAGGAAGTCATAACAATCCCAATAACTAACATAGTATCTATGTATATCACATAAAATACAATAAATATCATTTTTATCATGTAAATGTCTTATAAATATTGCCTGTATATAGTATGTATGATCCTTGACAGAATTATTATTAGTATTTATTTATAAAACCGAGCAATAATAAAGTGGGTCAAATATTAAGGAGACCCCCTGCCCAAATAAGTGTTATTTAGAATATATATTGGTATTGAGGAGTTATATTTTAGTGAATTTATTATTAATCCTCGACACCCCCATACGCATTGATAGAGATACTCTAAAAAGTCCTGGGTTGCAAAATGCCTGATGGATGGACCTTACTGGGTTCATATTGTACACTTCAAAGTTTTTAACTATGCAAACGATGACGATCTGACGGTCAATGTTTTTAGTGAGAAATAGAAATCAATAAAGAGGCGGAGTTTTATTGTTGCGCAACCCAAGGTCATGGCCCACGAAATCCTTAGCTACCTCTACCGTGCACCATAACGGACGACCCTAAATATTTTATCCCAAGTATCTTACTTTAACTGATCTAATTTTCATTATCACTATAAGGTTGTCAGCCCTAGGACTGGTTGGACACGCAATTTCACTCATTACTATATTGAGGTAACCTTCCCATTTCCCTAACACTAGAACATCCCCCATTCTTAACTATTTATGAACAGTACTCTAATCTATGTCTACCTCTACCCCTCTTAACCCCTATTTTGCTAACTAACTAGGCCTTCATGCCTGAGAAGGTGTCCTACCAACCTATCTCGCCTATTTCTTATTGACTTCCTTTCTAATACCACCCCATTTGTGACCTTTTCTATCCACGGTATTCTCATCATTCATATGTAACACCACATTTCGAACGTTTCTAACCTTTTCTTTTCTGCCGCTCTCACCGTCCACCTTTATCACCCGTACAGAGTCATTCTCCAGGCGTAAACTTCTACTAATGTTTTCCGAATTTCTAAATTAACCGTTTGCGAACATAACCTGCGCTATACTCTGATTTATATCTCTACTGCTCCAAACTCTGTCCTGAGGTGTCTGATTTCCTAGATACCGAAAATCATCCAATTCTTTTGATTTTTCGTTTCCTGCCTGTTTACTCATTTTTCCCTTGAGTACTAGTATTTTTGTTTAAAAGTATTTTTATAATTATTGTTTGTCTAACTTTAATATCATATATTTTACTAAATAGAAGTAAAGTGTTAGGCATACTGAATTATGGCATTTTATTTTTTTGTAAAAACGTTTAAGTCTACCTATTACTCTCCAGAGTATAAGAAACTTCGTTAATTTTGCGACTCAACCGAGAAAAGAAAAATTAGTTTAGAAAGTAATCTAATAAGAGTTGTAGAGCTTCCAATTTGTGAACGTCCGGAAAAAATAAAAACAGATCGCCGAATGGTTTTCTTCTAACTAGATTTTACGTAAACACTCGATAATAAAAAATTGTACAAACTGCCTCGATTTTTTTTTATTCTTAATCGTAATACCTAAATAAAGAAGCCAAAAATTCTTCAGCTAAATATAAAACCTTTCATTAAAAGTAACAACGCAAATCTAAACAACTTTTCTTCATTCCTCATCAGAACCAGGATAAAATGGGAAAGCAGGAGAAGACCTTTTCAGACTAATTGCTTTCATCAACTGAAAATAATTGCTTCCAAACTTCTAATCCAGCACTCAAATCATACATACAGGGTATCAAATTATGAAAACCAAGGGATTATGTTGTTCTGATAGGTAACAAAAAGAATTTCTCATTTCTATTAACCTAAAATTTTTAAAACCCACTGCGCAGGATGAAATGTGTCTTGAAGCTAGAGGGTGAATGTCAAACTTTTTACACTTGCCAAAACTGCACTTGATTTTTTTGTCAAAAATACTTTTAATTACACCTTAGATAGAGTATTTGGAATACACTAAAACAGAATATAAAAGTATTTTCAATTTTAAATATAATTTTAGTCCTTGTTTCATTGTATGAATTTTTATATTTTGTCATATTATTTGTCATAGCAAGGACAATAACAAATAAAACTGATCACAAAAACGATCGATATCACTAGAATTCAACTGCTAGAAGGGCAATATAGACATTGGCCAACTCTTTATGCTAAACTTTGACCCAGTAGCTTAACTTGATGTGGGTTAATTCATAATGATATTGATTACCGTTACTTTCGTATTTATAGATCGGCTATTACTTCTACTACTTATTATTTCTCATTAGTCGAAGAGGAAGAAAAGAAAACTAAGTGCAATAGTTAACTTGAAACAACAAAATATGGACAATGACCCTTTTACCTCCAGCCACGAAAATACCTAATGGGATACATTTACAATGACTGTAGTATATTTAAAGTTTAAAACATGATATTACTAGTAGCTTATGATGTGAAAGGTTCTTTTAGAACTTGCCAAAATTTGCAGATTTAAATCGAGATTTAGAATTTATTGATTCTCATTAACACGCCATCAACCAGCATTGATAGGTGATTTTTTTATTTCGTATTTTTTTTGCTGAAATTTTCCTAGATATCCCTATCAATACAATATAACAAGTTCATCGTTTATGTGTCAGAATAAGGGGGTGCCAATCAAGGTGTAAATCATTACACAGTTGATATCACACATCAACACCTTTTTTTTAGTTACAACTGTTCAAATGAATTGACAAAAGTTATATTTATTTTTATTTTATTTTATTTTTGTGAAGTTGGAGTTACTAGAAAGAGAAGACGAACAGAGGAAGTTGGTAGGACATGTTCTCAGGTATGATGGGCTAGTTAGGGGAGGTGCGTGTCCAACCAGTCTTAGGACTGACGACCTTATGATGATGATGATGATGATTATCTCTTAAAATTATCCTACAGATCTTAAGAATTCCTTAGATTTTATATATAATTTAATAGAAATCCCTTTTCCCTGCGCTGACTCTATATTCCATAGGCGCCTAAGGGGACATTTCCCTAGATCCGGCAACGCTACCGATTTGTTCGATTTGTAAAATTCACTCCCTACGGGCACGTTTTTCACAGCAAACAACCCTTTTGTTTTACTTGCTTACGTACTTTTTTCTAGCAATCAATTAACCAACAAATCCACCTTGTACAGTAAACAAGAGTTAAATAATTACAAAACTTTTAACAATAAAATTAATGTTGACGCTACTCAACTAAATTGCTTTTCTGAAGTAAAAGAGTCGGATAATCAAACGATGATAAAATAGTCCTGCTAAATTGATCCTTGCGAGTTAGTTCAGAAAGAAGTACCAACGGAAAATTTCGATTAAATCTTGAAGCGGCGTCTAAAGTAGAGCGTTTGAAGAACATGCATCACTCGAATGCCTCTGCAACACAGACAGCCCAGCCGCAGAAACTAATTTCCTACTAGTCAGGGACATTCAAATATCTACGACTGACGGAATTTCTATAGCACGGATATTGTGTGGAAAGACAAGAAAATTCAACTGTGTTCGAATGCGAAATGTCACCACTGTCGCTATGGAGCGACCAGAACAAAAGATGGATTGATAATGTCAAACGAAACATCGACAGATATCGAATACAATGTTCCATTTACTGTGTACACTGTACAAAAATGCAGTATCAATTTATGATGTTTGTGATGTTTCAGAAACAAGTTATGAATACCTAACACATTTAAGTCCAAATTCTGACAAGTTCTAAGACTTATTTTCATAATAATTAAAAGAAAATTTGCAATATATCTAAATCTAAATTTCCGTAAGGTACCTAAGAGTGGATTCAATTAATCATAATGTTCATTAAGTTAATAAAGAATAATATGTTAAAACTTCTCCAAGTGTTTGTTTTTTATATACTATTTAGTCAATCTGATTCACAATTTCACAATTTATCTGATCGTGAACAGAAAATTAGCAATCAATAACAAGAGCTATTGTAATGAGGTCCCATCAAGTATCTATTTCCTCAGAATTCGAACAACTGTTGCAAAATGTAAAAATTAAAGATATATATACGCTGGGCTTTTAATGTAATTCTCGATAATTTCAATACAATCGAGTTTATCTCTAATATTATATCTACTCATGTTCTTTGACTTTCATTCATTTGGGGGTAGAGATTACCCACTGCTGGGGTTCGATGTGACTTGAGGATTATAGAATTAGCCTAATCCGACTAAACTTGAGACGAGGAATCGATTGAGGTCACTTCCGGATCGATCAGACATCCGGTTCCGGTTTTACCAGATGTTACTTTGTTGCAGCGGTTAGGTTAGGTTTACTTTGTTTGCAGTTGTTAGGGAATTATGGGATTAAGCTAATCAGAACAAGTGGATTATGAGAAATCTAACGGAACCGGTTTGGAGTTGATTCGCGAAATAAGTAAAAAATTCAACTTCCGGTAAAACCAGAACCGGAAATCTAATCGACCTGAAAGTAGCCTCAATCGATTTCTCATGTCGAGATTAGTCGAATTAGTCTAATCCCTTAATCCTATAATACCTCTAACACCGAACCCCAGTAGTGAGTAAAGTGAGCACATTTCGGAGTACAACCACTCATTTGTCCACTGTATGTTTGCTCGCGAATGAGTTTGTTTGTTCATTACCATTTCACGCCTTAACTGCACAACCGATTATCATGAAATTTTGCATTCACATTGTCCGAAGAACAGGAAACGACACAGAGTAACTTTTATCCAGAAAAATAAAGCTACTCCCGAAGGATAGAAAAATTTCTTTTCACCTCGATAAAGAAAGACAGTATGTACCGTCATTCTACCTAACCTCAACGTTTAACCTAAAAAATTAGAAACTTCAATATTATCCTAATGATCCTAATCAGGAGTTAAGAACAAATTATTGTATTTTCGATTATTTTATTTTATTTAGGATATCACCGCTAGCAAAGCCGACTATTTTTTCCTTAATCTCTTAAATTGATTCCCTACAACGTTAGAAATTGTTCAGTAAAAACGAAATTTAATATCTGGAAAAACAATGAAATTATAGGGTTAAAATAGTTACTTGATAACAACAACTCTGCTCAGTATTGTCATAAGATTCGGCAAGTAAGACAGTTTGTATTTTTGAATCGATTTCAGATTTTTGTTTCGGAAATAACATCTATATCTTTTTAATATTTATCAGATAACGTTCAATCATTTGAATTACTGTCACATACCCTAATGCTATTTAATTTATTTAGACTGCTGGTTGGCGTATATCACAGGCACTTTGCATTTTCAGATGGGAGAACTGCAAATCGTTGCCACCTTATTAATGATAGCAATTATCCTGGTAGTGGTTCTGATGCTCTGTCATTCGCTTGATATATGGCCTCGACTGACGGCATGGATTTTCTCCAACACCGAAGAGAAAATTGGACTGACGAAATTGAAAGGACTGTACAATGCAAATGGATATTTGGTAAACAATGTTTTAGTTACTTAACAAGATCTTAGTTGTCTGTGAAATTGTAAAATTACAAAATCATAACAAACTAATTTATGAATAACGTGCATAAAAAGGACCCTTTAAATCGTTACTAAAAATGGACCCTCTGTTAAACTCTTTCAACTTTGGTTTCTGGTGGTTCTCAACGTGTAGATCAGAAGTCTTAGTGGGCGCTAAGTCATTAAAACTCATCTCTCTGACTTCTGCGATTCGGTATATCTTAGAGTTCGATCATTATGTTACTATGTTTATTAGGCAGACAGAAAAGGATCTAAAAAGCGCTAGAGACTTGATGCGTATAAATACATATATATCCGTTCCACGAAAGCGTACAAATACGTAATAAGGAGAAAGGAATGATAAAAGAACTGAAATAGGCACTTTTAGTAGCTCGTGGCTGATATTGTGAACACGTGGCACGATTTAAGAACACTACCTACAAACCAACGTGCTTTAGATTGAGAATGACAGTTATTTAAGGATCAAATTCTCCTTATAAAAAAGAAACAGGAACCTGGATTAAAAGAAAAAAACTTTGAAATTCCTTTTAATATTAAAGTAGCATATTTAAGTCACTTATAGCAATAATATACCAAAAAAAAAAAAGAAATAAATCCCAATACTAATATTTTTCTTTTTGAAATTATATATATACAAATTTCTTAATAGTTTGAACGAACTTATAAAAAATAAAGTCATGGCGTAAATAGGAGTAGATCGAGTAATATTTGGGAAAGACAATTTGCCAATACTTCAAATTCATCAAATGCAACATTTAATTGAATTACACTATGAATGGTACTGCCTGCACTCAACATTGCTATAAATCATACTGACTTTAAATGATTTACGATGGATATTGTTCAAAAATTACTGCATGTGTTGAAAATTTTCACTAAATTAGTTGTATTTACCTTTTTTGTTGTGATACGTCACAATAACTATAAGATTCAGCTTGGAGATTATTGTCTTTAACACTGTTAAGAAAAATTTTAGAAGGAATTGTCTTAAAATGTTCCCTTTTCCACTTTTTGTTTTTTTTTTTTATTTAAGGTGCGGTCTACTTCGGATTTGAAGTTGTTTGCTAGTGGAAGCTTTAAGAGATTCGATTCCGTTGACAGGGATTTTAGGGAAACACTCGTAACTACGAACCTGACAGAGAAATGGAAAGCTGGGGACGAAAATAACCCTATGCCACCACCCTTCACCCTACAACCAAGTGCAACATCAAACACGCTATCGAAGGATTCGACGATCCCCATTCTGAAGACTTCCACAGGGTAAATTTTTTGTTTTTATACGGGCTCTTTCCAATGTATCGTCTTAAATAGGAACAGAATCGCATGACGCAAGAGTTTTTACATTAAGAATGAGCTATTAAATTTTTCTAGGGAAGTATGCAGAGAAGATTGAATAAATTGAAACGGTCATTACGATATTATTCGAAATTGCATGTACCACGGTATTATCTTAAATACCTGTAAGTTGTCCCCAGTTTTCCAAAAATTTTTGAGAGTCTAAATTTATTGTAAGCTTTGTGATAGAATTTACAATGACTAAATGTCTAATTAATACATTGTTAAATTTTTAAAGCACGGTTTATGCTGCAGTTAATTAATTATTGTTAATGTCAAGTTCAAGACAATAAAAAATAGGCGAGATAGGTTGGTAGGACACCTTCTCAGGCATGAAGGTCTAGTCAGAGACATATTAGAGGCAGAAACAGGAGTTAGGAGGGGTAGAGGTAGATCTAGATTAGATTACTCTTCGCAAATAGTTAAGGATGTGGGCTGTTCTAGTTTTAGGGAAATGCGAAGTTTAGCTCAGGATAGGAAAGAGTGGAGGTACGTGTCCAACCAGTCTTAGGACTGATGACCTTATGATGATGATGAATGTCAAGTTCAAAGAATTTCAAAAATTCATACGCAGTTCACAAATCACTTATTTTTTATTTCAATGTATAACGTTAATGATTTGCACGACCGCGTATGATCGCTGCAAATGAAGTATGCCAAATATTGGGCGACTCAAAAATATTTTTTGTTGTGTACGCGTGTGTATGTATGTATGTGTTTATCAGTGTTGTAATTAATTTTTGGGAGAATAGGAATATTGGCGAACCACTCATAAAAAAAGCTAATATACTTTGACAATACCTCAATAATATTTACTTAATAAAATTGGTAAAGTTCTATCGAAATTGGTTCAGCCATTTAGAAGACCAACCCCTACAGTCAGAAAAGTTTTTAAGAATCGTTTATGTCGTTATTCAAATGTATCGATGATGTCTACAAAATAAAAACTCTCCCCTTTAATTAGACTACAATTCGCGAAGACATTAATTTGGTTTTAATTGCGGAAACTTGAGAAAACTTTATTAACGTGGATTTTGAATTTGTAATTTTTGCGTAACGCGTGGCTGTTACTTTTCATCGAAATATGTAGATGTTAATTATTAGTTGTGAAAATTGTTCATTAGCACACAGGCCTGCGTATAGAATTTTCATGAACGGCTTCGTCATCAACCCTTCAAATTAAACTTTCGGGAAAACTGAAAAGATAACATGACTCGTATAGACATTTTGTTTTTGTTTTGTCTTTCTTATTAGATAGCAATGTGGTAATGTTTTTAATGAAATATTGTTGATAATTAAGTTCAAAGCTACTTCATCGGTTCTCATTTACCATGTTGATTACGTTCATATCGTACCTGTATTAATTCCATGGTTTATAATCGTGTTTTAGATGCATGCATTTGACTGAATGAAACGCGTGGTTGAAATTACCTTTCGAATATGACCTTTGTACCAACCACACGTGCCTCTAGCAATTTCGATACAACCAACGTAAACGATGGGAGGCGATTCAATTTCGATCCTTTTCCCCTAGGGTTTTAGTTAAGCAGCTTAGCCCATGATATCGATAAAATAACTCAGATTTCAAGCTCCTCGCTCAATCACAAAAGGTCGAATTGGAATCTGAACTAGATTAGATACACCACAACAAAAACTCTTTAATATTAACAATATTGCTTTTAAATAAAGGATTTTATAAAATAAGATAATCCTTAAATTGTAGGAAATAGAAAAAATGTAGCAAAATTTCCGTAAAACTTTTAAAAAGGTGCTCATGGTCGACTGGGCTAAGAGGAAGTAACAAAAGATGTTAGATTTTGGTCCCCTAAATGGAAAAAGTATTTGAATAAATTAGTATGAATAAAAGTAAAGCATGAGTGAACAAGCTAGATCTATAATATTTAACTTTGATAAAAGCACAGGCAGCATATCATTATCTAATATGTGTCATAAATTTATTATCTTTAAGTCATCAGTATAGTTTGTACGAAGTAATTCGAACGGTTCCTGCTGGCTGAAGCCAGGTAGATTTTGAAATACAGTATAACCTTTATAAATCGAACCTCGATAAGTTGAAAACCTCCAAAACTCGAAAAAATGTTTTGTTCCCTTCCCTTCAAGACCCAAAACCTCAATTACTCGAAATTTCAACCCTCTATTAATCGAAATAATCAGTGAGTCCCTGCAACCCATTTTGGTACATATTTTCTCTCAATAACTCGAAAAATGAAATTAGACCTATGTATCTCGAACATGGCAATGTTTTATTTTACAACTTTTACAACTCGATAATTTAATTAAAAAAATTACTGACTTTTTTAATACATACTTAACACCAAAACACAAAACTGAACATCCAAAATACTTTTTGGTGACAAAGTTATAGCTTCTTTAATTTCCAGTTACAATACAAAAGCGAAACAATTACATTAGACTATTTGGTGGATAATTAGGAATAGGATCCTTTTGTCATTATTAAGAACGTTTTATCGGTTTTTATTAATAAACATACCTTCAAAACTGTTAAATAAGTAAACAAGTAATTATTTCTAATTTCCTTAAGATTGTCGATATTGATCCTATAATTTTCAGTAAGAACATTTTGAGCAATACTGGATTTTTCAGTTTTACCAAACCTGGTATAAACCAAATGTTCTTTGAACCTGACATGAACAGAGTGTTTAGTTTGTTCAGTATAGTTCTTACTGCGATCTTTACAAATTATTTTGTATGTACCCAGTTTTTACCACCTTAAGATTACCAAGAAGGGTTTGAAGTTTTCTAGAAAAGCCGCAGATATATAAATTTATCTGTAAACTATACGTTCTATACCTACGTGTTAGATTCAAAAAGTATTTATCTCGTACCAGGTTTCGAAAAGCTGAAAAGCTAATGCTGCCTAACATATTCTTACTGAAAATCACAGGATTAATACCGATAATCTTGATTTAGTTAAGGAAATTACGAGTAGGTACTTGCTTGACAGTATTGAAAAATATCAATACATAACGTAACTACTTGCATTTGTATCAGAAAGAGCTAGACAATTGCTTGGGCTAAAGACCTTTGTTAAATGTACCTGTAATACAGTATTGTGTCCATCAATGCTTATTCTATTTCAATATTCTATTAATTAGTTTCTAGGGCGTAAAACTATTTCAATTATTTTATTAGAATCTAGTAAAATCGTTGTAAAATATTTTAAAGAACGTCCTTATAGATTTCGCAGGACTAAATTTTGGTATTCAGAACTGAGCGTATCCTTACTGCAGTATCAAAAATTATGAAACATAAATTTTAAAAAATTAAATTATATTTAAAATCGATCATTCTACTAATTACTATTAGCTACAAAGTCTAAAGTGGGGAAAAACTTTATCTGCCTAGCTAGGCACCTATTGATTTACTGAAACAGTCATGCAACTAAAACTTGTGTCCACTTTATCAATAACCTCCAAAATACCTTTTGGCAAAAAGTTTTAATATCTATAATTAATTATAATCCCAGTGCATTCACCGAAAACTATTGACATTAATTCGTTTACAAACTCAGTTCCAATTTGCTGCTCATTTATTAACTTCCTATATTAAATATATTTAAAATTAAAACCATCACCTACGGCCACAATTCAATTAATCATTTCGTCACAAACACGGCATATTCCCTTCTGATTTTGAACATCAAATAATAATTCATTCAAGCCGTTGTTAAGTAATGAAGTATATAGATGGATTCTAAATTAACTATATTGTTAGTAAACAATAGGCTATGAAATTGGAAAAACATTTTTAAATTTTAAAGTAGCAAATAGGAGGTCAGTTATATTTCTAATTTATAATTTAAAGCATTCCATGGTACATTCGTGATGAAGCATTTTTTTTTATAACTTGAATAAATTGTCAAGTCAATGTCAGTATATTACCAATTGTGACCAAACAATTGTACTAGTTTACTATAAATTGTTGAAGCAATTTTTCCCTTTTTTTTAGTTACTGAATACATAGAATCACTAAAAATAATATGGAAGTTTCAAATGCAATTATAGAAAAAGAAAATATCTCAAACACTGTTGTTTCAAAAAAGTTCTAGAAAGTGGTATTTTGGTTTAATGAATTTTTGAAGAAGATGAATATGAATAATTTCTAAATTAACCATTCGCGAACATAAAAGTTATTTCTTTTTGCTGTCCCTATCTTTTGTTTAATATCTTTACTGTTTCTTCTATCCATCTATACATCGAAGACGCCATCAACATCATTAAAGAAAGTACAACTGTAGGGATAGACGTGCAAGGGCAAAAGATTAGTATGCTTAGATTTGCAGATGATATAGCAGTATTAGCATCTAGCAAGGAGGACCTAGAGATAGCTTTAAATAAAATGGAAGCGGTACTGACAGATCAGTACTGTATGAAAATAAATAAAAGTAAAACTAAAATACTG